GAGCCACAGAATTCGTTTTGGCATCGTTGGATAGAGAATTGAAAAGTCGATTCAGTCGTAACAACGTAAGTGAGGAAATTCGAGTAGTTTTGACCCAGCAAGTAAAATTTGAATATCAGACACTTAGGTGCAAGATTATGCAAAAATTTCATGTTTTCCGTCCTCTTTTTGCTCATATCTCCGAGGCAAAATGAGCAAGAACGCTAATTTTTACATCATTCTAGACAGAAATTAATGACCTTTTTACAAAGTGAACCATGGATGGGGAAATGTTGGCAGTTTTCTAAAAAAATGCTTGAATTCAAGAAGTTTTAGATTTGCGTGGTTTTTTTTGAGTTGCAAAATCCACTTGAACATGACGCTGCTTTTTTCGAAGTTTCTCAAGAACCATTCGAGTCACAGAATTCGTTTTGGCATTGTTGGATAGAAAATTGAAAAGTCGATTCAGTCGTAACAACGTGAGTGAGGAAATTCGAGTAGTTTTGACGCAGAAAGCGAAATTTGAATATCGGACACTTAGGTGCAAGATTATGTCAAAATTTCATGTTTTCCGTCCCCTTTTTGCTCATATCTCGGAGACAAAATGAGCAAGAACGCTCATTTGTACATCATTCTAGAGAGAAATAAATGGCCTTTTTAAAAGTGAACCATCGATAAGGAAATGTTGGCAATTTTCTCAAAAGTCTTGAATTCGAGAAGTTTTAGATTTGCGTGGTTTTTTTTGACTTGCAAAATCCACTTGAACATGGCCCTGCTTTTTTCGAAGTTTCTCAAGAACCATTCGAGCCAGATAATTCGTTTTGGCATCGTTGGATAGAGAATTAAATGAGGATCCCCCTGGATCCGCCCTTGCTTGAAGGTGAATTAATCACTGATTAGGATGAATATACCCAAAAGATGGGATGCATGCCATAAACGGGTCAAGTGAGTAAAACAATAATTATTTTGTCAAAAATATGAGTGTATTGCAGCTGTTGCTAAGTATTCCGATTATCTGTTAAAGTAAATTTCATGCAAAACCATGAAACGGTTTCTCTAGAAGGGAAAATTATTTTTGCACTTTAATTTTATAAAGATGCATTCATCAGCCCTTGCATAGGTAGGTAAAGGAACAAAGTTATTCGGTCACAATTTATGGCTAAACCAGCATTCGCACCCAAATTACCAGGAACAAGGAACAAGGTGGCGTGGGTATCCTTCAATGGAACAATGAGCTGCAGCCCGGTTTCAGGTACAAACCAATATTTATCATCGGCAAAGGTAACATGTGACAAAAAATAACAGATACCTGGAACAGGTACAAGTTGGAACAGTCACACATGGACCAAGTGACTGAAAAATGCTGGTTTGTGTCATCCCTAATGGAAAGTTGCTAAATAATGCTAACTGAGTAGAAAACAACTGACCGGTATTCAGGTAGAAAATATAGCGAACTAATAATATAACGAGCTAATGTTGCAAACAACCCAATTTACTATTAATATCAGTTTGTCAGTACACATTCATCAGGAATCCCTCGTAAACAACATTATTTTCTTATTTCGTTATTGAAACAGTTTTGACATCTCAAACTGCAATTAGATAACATACAAAACAAAACAAACAAAGCACAGTGGACTTTGTAATGTTTACTCATAACAAGCCATTTTGTAATATCCGGCATTACTATCTCCTTGATTTGACTTGCGCAGTGAAATGACAAAACGACGGTCAAGCGATGATTTCTACCTACTTCTACTTCCATTAAGTGCCATGCAATTATACAGAGTAAACATTTTTCTCAAACTGACTCGATATATTCCGATATTAAATTTAACTCCACGTTGGATCAATCCAGATTTCAAGGTTTTTAAAAATTAAAGTAAACAAAATTGTGTACGATAGCTGCGATAGCATCAAATGTTTGATCACTCATTAAATACTATTGAGAATAATTCCAGAATATTTTACTCATGTTCAAACCCACTCCTTCCATCTATGAATTTTGATGCGTTCCACTAAACTATCAATGCAACAACAAATATGTATATTTCCATTAAAAATCAAACTTAAACATTTGACGGTAGATGGGTCTGATGCACAACGTCGAAACTCTTCTTCTTCGTCGAACAAAGTCTTCTGACAATAGTTTGTGTCCAAAATTGTACAAATGATCGCCGCAGTAAACTCATAGATCCCCAGAGATGCCAGGTCTACCGATTTTTCGGTAGATCTACCGATTCGTCAAGGAATCTACCGATACCATGCAGATTTCCACCGAAAAGTAACAAATAAAAATTAAAAAATTTACAATGGATTACTTAATGTACAATATAACACATTTAACGTGAGAAACATATTCAGAAATCTATTTGACTGTTTTTTAAAAAGGAATTACTTACTTTCTGTTCCAATTTCCAACATTGGCTATAAAAATTCTATTAATTTCTTACCGGTTTCTGACATTTATTTAGGAGTTAATGTACAGAAAACAATTTTAGAATCCGTAATATCAGAAGAGCAACTGACATTTTTTAAGTTAAGGTGTTGTTTGGAAGGCTGAGGAGATATTTTTATTTAAAGAAAGAAAGGTGTTTAGTTCGTGAAATTAGAATTAATAATATTATTCGCAATATGTATGATGAAGATTTTATTGATTTTTTGTGTGTATTATTTTATTTTTGTTCACAATGTGTTGTAATGTTCAAGGAAATATTATAAATATACCTATTGACTCTTATGTTTATTTTAGTATTGCTGTAAGTTCATAAAAAATAAAGTTTTGAACAATGTGCGATTTTATGGAGCCCTTATAATAATGAAAAAAAATGTGTCTACGGATTTTTTACGATATCTACCGAAAAATGTCGTGCTTATCTACCGAAATTCGATTTTCGGACCTGGCAACGCTGTAGAACCCTCTGTTCTCTGTTGAACCTGTTAGTTTGTAATCTATGACGCCATTTTTTCGATTACTTTCTGTGTCATTTATTCCTTAAACTAAGTTTTCTGAAGGAAAATCATTAGAAAGTCTATATCTGCACAAAATTAAAGCCATCAGCATGACACATTACATTAATTAAGAGATGGAAATCGATAGCTTTCAACTCAACTTCAAACTTCACAAAGTTGTTCTGGGAATTATTCCAGCACGTAAAGTTTATATGGAGTCATGTTGGAGTTATTTTGATATAATGCTGAAGTTTTCATTCCATTTTTATCTAGCAAGAGCGTGTGGTCTATTAAACCTTTAGCCATGTAAATCGTAATTTACCATAGCATGTTGCAGTGCTCTCTTTTCATGCAATCTTTTCATAAAATAATGTCTCACTTTGCGACTATATATATACAGATAGACTAGATAAACCTAAAAATAGTAGTAATTTGATTAGCAGCGTATGCGAAATGAAATGTACATGAAAATAAGTTCAAATGATGAAGCAACAAGCGATTCAAGAAGCATTTGATTTGTTAGATTGATCTTGTGGGTCGATTTAAGGAAAACACGTGGTCTTTCTGCCCTGGCTTTTCATAGAAATAAGATTAAATCATTTCAAGTAGTTGAAAATATTAAGATTGAAACTGTACGGAATCTAATCCATATGACAAATAAGATTAAAGGGCAATTACTCATATCATGGATGGAACAGGATGGGAAAATAAAACTATACCACGTGTTTATTACTTTCCCGTTCCATTCGCAGAATTGTACTGTCAGTGTTGCCAACCGAAGAGAGCATTAGGCGCTTGTAGACAATAGGGCCGTTGCACAAACATTTTTTGGTTGAAACTTCTCCCAAACCTATCGTGAGGGTCGTTTAGAACAAGGCCGGTAGCAAATTTCCAAAAAAAATTTTATGTTAAAAAAAGGGAACGAAAGTTACCAGCTTTGCTTGTAAAATGACGTCACGCAAGACCGTTGTTTCACTGGCTGTGACGTAGAGTGGCACAAATCCTACGCTAGTTATATGCCCATAACCAGTAGAATGTACACTTGCATATTGCATAGGAGCAAAAGCGTTATTAACATTTGAGACATAATAAATATAATTTTTTTTACAAACTTCTTGTTGGGTACTTCGCCTCAAAAATGTTTGTCTTTAAAAAGACAGAATTTTTTCACGTCTTTTATTACAGATTGATAAATAGTGCTCCTCATTAAATATGCAGATAAATAACAAATTTGTTTTAAAATAAACAAATGACAATTTTTTTGCGGGTATTGTAAGACGCTCATCAATTAAAACTCTGTGCGAGGTCTGTTAATTCCGGAGAAACCATGTAGATAAATGGCTTAAAGTCTTAAGAGACATATTTTAAAGGGGATTTATCTCATGTTCTATTAATGTTAATAGGTGGCAACACAGTGCTAGTGTTGGCCAGACTGAAGGAGGGGAGAGTTCTTCAAGCGTTTTGTACAATTGTAGTCGCAGAACTACTTGGGCGTGCGCACGAATGGAGTGAATCAACGAGTTAATTTAGACTATCTGAGTTGTCCACGTTGAGAACTGGCATCATCCCATTTCGTCAGTTGTGGTGTGCGTGTGTGGTTGTGTCCGTGTGTCCCCAAGACACACAATCACGGAACCACGGTGAAATAATTCTTTTAAAAAGACAAAAAAATTTAAAAATTGTGCAAAACCCAAAAAAATTATAAAACAATTTAAATAACTTCAAAAAAATCGAAAAACAGTGGAAAACCTTAATATAAACAATTTTGATTTCCATTTGTATGTTATACTGATTTTTCTTCATTCTAATATTCGTCACGCGTTGGTCGAGATATCAGAACGATGAATCAAGGGGCTCCTAATTACCCCATGGCGTCTCTGTACGTCGGGGATTTACATTCCGATATTACGGAAGCCATGCTTTTTGACAAATTTTCAAGTGCAGGGCCTGTTTTGTCAATCCGAGTGTGCCGCGATTTGATAACTCGTAGATCTCTCGGGTATGCCTACGTGAATTTTCAACAACCTGCGGATGGTAAGTTCCATATGGTACAGTTTGGTTAACCTCTTTGTTCATTTTAAATGACCCTGAGGATTGCACATGTTTTTACCTTCACTTTGCTTTTACACCCAATCCTAGCAAGTACGTTCTTCAAAAATACTTTTAACTAATTGCATATTCTTCAGCATTGCGATGTTTCCCTCCCCATTAGTGATTAGTGGAAGCTTTTTTAGTTTTTCGACGTTTGGAAAATGCCCACGTGATTCAATATGCAGCCATTTTTAGGTTAACTGTGTATCACTTTTCCATCTTGTGGTATTCACGTCCTGACATTCCATACGCGATCGGGAATTTAATTAACAGTAAAAAATTAATTCCATCGTATGGTGCTACAAAATAGCTTCATTCGCCGATTCCAAACCAATTTAAAAGGTCTTGGCATGCGCAGTTTGGAAATATGTGTTTGCGGTTTACAAAATTGTAAATTTTACTTTTACCATTTAGCCAACTAGGTAGTTGGCTCCCCTTAACAGATGTAATTTCTGTGTAAAAATATGCTGCGTTCTGTTTTCGGCATAGTTACAGAATAAATGGACCACGTGGCATTTACTAGAATGCGTGAGAGAACATCACAAGCAATTTACGGTGAACTCGTTTGAGTACTACCAAAAATTAACCACCACTGACGTGTATAATCAAATATTTTTCGGTTAGTTGTTTTGTGTCAGCTAGTTATTTTTTAATAACACTAAAAATGTATACAAAATAAAAATTAAAGCCCAAATAACCCAAAACCAGGCGAATGAATGAATCTGCATTGCAATTTGGCAACACCGCTCAAAATTAGCTTGAAAATGTTGATTTTGCTCTTTTTTGGGTTAAGTTGTGGACCATCCAAGATATTTTCTCACATTGACATTGCTTAATATAGTGTTCTTTGAGGTACAACAACAACAACAAAAAATCGTAATACTCAAACGACAAGTTCACCGCAATTTAATATGAAATATTAGACCAGAGCAGATGATCAAATTAGTCTAATCATTGTAATCAGAACGAACTAGCATTGTTAATTTGTAAAAAAAATTCTTACAGCCGAACGTGCCCTGGATACAATGAACTTCGATTTGATCAGGGGACGGCCGATTCGCATTATGTGGTCTCAGCGCGATCCTTCTTTGAGAAAATCTGGAGTTGGCAACGTATTTATTAAAAACTTGGACCGATCTATTGATAACAAAGCTATGTACGATACTTTTTCGGCATTTGGAAACATTCTGAGCTGCAAAGTGGCCCAAGATGAAAATGGCACTAGCAAGGGCTATGGATTTGTTCATTTTGAAACCGAAGAAGCGGCGAATAAGTCGATCGAAAAAGTGAATGGAATGCTTCTTAATGGCAAAAAAGTGTACGTTGGACGCTTCATTCCCCGCAAGGAAAGGGAGAAGGAATTGGGAGAAAAGGCTAAATTATTTACCAATGTCTATGTGAAGAACTTCGGCGAAGATTTGTCCGAAGAGCAGCTTCGCAATATGTTTGAGAAGTTTGGAAAGATAACTAGCTACAAAGTCATGAGTAAGGATGATGGAAAATCAAAGGGTTTCGGTTTTGTTGCTTTCGAAAGCCCTGAAGCGGCCGAAACTGCCGTGGACGCATTAAATGGTAACTATATCTAACCTGATGATGAATTTTTGCGATTTATGACATTTGATTTTATCTGTTCTTAGGGAAGGAGTTAGTTGAAGGAAAGCCGCTTTATGTGGGACGCGCTCAAAAGAAGGCTGAACGTCAACAGGAATTAAAACGTCGCTTTGAAGCCTTGAAAATGGAACGACTCAATCGTTATCAAGGCGTCAATTTGTACGTGAAAAACTTGGATGACACCATTGATGATGAACGTCTTCGCAAAGAGTTCGCTCCGTTCGGCACCATCACATCTGCCAAGGTGATGATTGAAGAAAACAAAACGGAGTCCTTCATAACCACCAGAAGTAAAGGATTTGGCTTCGTGTGTTTTTCATCTCCCGAAGAAGCAACAAAAGCGGTTACAGAAATGAATGGGCGTATAGTGGGGTCCAAACCCTTGTATGTAGCTTTGGCTCAAAGAAAAGAGGACAGAAAAGCGCATTTAACATCCCAGTACATGCAACGAATGGCTAATATGAGAATGCATCAAATGGGCCATCAATTTATGCCTCCAGGCCCATCTAGCTACTTCGTCCCAACTATTCCGACAGCACAAAGGTACTTTACAGGCGGCACTCAGTTGACTCCAATCAGAAGCAACCCAAGATGGGCAGCACAAACACCAATTAGACCGGGAGCTCAAGGAGGTACTGCTGCATATATGGCCAATTCATACCGGCCAAGTGCTCGGCCTCCAAATCAACCAATGGCCATGCGTAATAACATCGGCCTCGGCAATGTGCCAAGACCCATCACTGGCCAACAGCCTCCCAATATGCAGGGACGACCTCTTGCTGGACAACAAGTGGTCGTTGCCACTGGAAGTAGAGCAGCTACTTTCAAATACACTTCAAACATGCGCAACCCTCCTCAGGCTATGGGAACTATGCCAGCAACACCAGTTCAACAGGCGGTACATATTCAGGGACAGGAGCCGCTCACTGCCACCATGTTGGCCGCTGCTCAGCCACAGGAACAGAAACAGATGTTGGGAGAACGTTTGTTCCCACTTATCCAACGCATGTATGCTGATTTGGCTGGGAAAATTACTGGTAAGTGTTTTTTTGCAATTTCTACGTTTCTAAGTCTTGCTAATATTTTACGATTTGCAGGAATGTTGCTGGAGATCGACAATACGGAACTCCTCCACATGTTGGAACACAACGAGTCTTTGAAGAACAAGGTGGAGGAAGCTGTAGCTGTCCTGCAGGCTCATCAAGCCAAGCAAGCTGCTATTAAGAAGTAGCTTAATTATGTTTTATTATCCGAACATGGCTCCTTCATACCTAGACCCAGTGTTTGGAAGTTTATTAATATTACGTTAATTAAAAAACTAATTGATGTAATATTCCGTGGAACATGCAATGTTAACTAGTATCTGATACCAGTTGCATTTCGTGTTTAATTCTGTACCTCATTAGAAATAAACCTAACGATATGTAAACTTTAAATTACGGTTTGTCATTATGTTTTTTAAAAGTCAGTATTGGGCAACCTCTGGTACTGCTCGGTATAAATTTGCTAGAAATTATAAAACTAAAAATCATTTACTGATATTCGAAAAGCTAGTTAGGTCTACAACTGTGAGGTACTTATAAAGTTATTTTGGTAAAATTTAATGGCGAAAATAACTTATAAAGGGTTATTTTGGGCAATAAATTAACGTCTCTATTAGGATCGCACGATGAGTTTGAGCTTCTTTATTTTGCATAATTTAGTTTGAAATGTATGTCTCAACATTTAATAAACGGATCTTCAGGATTTAGTACTACTTTAATCAAATCACCGGTAGGTAGGGTCGACTTGTTATCAAGTGGGATGTTAGGTTGGATCCAATCAAGTTAATAGCATTAAGCAAAAGGGTCCGCAAATAAACAGTTTGGGAGATTGGAGATTATTGTTTTTATTTTGCGTCGATCTGACGCCGCCTTTACGAAGCCGGACTCGCAAGGTCTTCTCGATTTTTCGAACCCATAATTACGTGTGAGTTATTTAGGGACGCAAAAAAGTAAGTTTGCCCGAGCAATAATTGTTCTTTTTCTATTACTTGTCCATCGGGCGACGCGAGAATTTGATTTTATTAACGTGTGTCTCATCAAATTGATAAAATTAGGGGAA